ATTTTTTTTTATAAATTATAATTTATATAAAATTTAATCTTTTGCTTTTTTGCTATTTTAACATAAGTGCCTTCGAAATTTATAAATTATAATTTATAAAAAAAAATTTAATCTTTTGCTTTTTTGCTATTTTAACATAAGTGCCTTCGAAATTTATAAATTATAATTTACAAAAAAAAATTTAATCGTTTGCTTTTTTGCTATTTTAACATAAGTGCCTTCGAAATTTATAAATTATAATTTACAAAAAAAAATTTAATCTTTTGCTTTTTTGCTATTTTAACATGAATGCCTTTTTTTTTATTTTCGAAGTGATTTCGAGCTGTTGAAGCACCATTTATATTCGAACTCGAATTAGGCAACTCATGAAATTGAAACAAATGTAAAAATGAACAACAAACATCATGAAAGAAAGAAAAAAAAATGAAATGAAGAGGAGAAAAAAAACACCAAACGAAATATACGCTCGTACACAATTATTTCTGGTTATCAATATAATTGAAACGGATAGACATAGCAAATGAGAAGAATACGCAAAGAGAAGGAAAGTAAAAATTCGATTGACGATCATTGTATATGAACCGATTATTTGACTATGATAATTCGATCATCTCGGTATTAAAAGCACTTGATAATCCAGGAGATGGTTGATCGTGGTTTGGTGAGAAGACTGTCGCGTGTTCCTGTTGTTGTGTTGATGGTGTTGAAGGTTGTTGACGATCTATCAGAGCGATGATTGGTGACGTGTTGACTTGTATTAGTGTTTGCTTGTGGTGCTTGACTACAGACTGTGCTATATAAACGTGGTTTACGTTGAAGAGGTGGTCCACGGTGTGATTGAGGATGAGATTTAGTTGAGCATGGGGGAGCATAAAATGACATAAGAGGAATTGGATTAGCAGAAGCATTGTGAAGTGGTGGTTCATTAACGTCAAGTTGTAATGACATAAGTGGTTGTGGAGTTATTGTTTCATGAGATAATTGCCGTTTTAGTGTGGGTGTGGGGTATGGGTGTAAATATTCTTCTGAATCTCATCCACACCCACACCCACCTTCTGAGTCTAATGATGACCTTTTTTACTGCCGTAAATAGCTGCTAATTGACATTTGATACGCGCAGTATTATGAGCGTATTTTATCATGTCGTACACAGTGAATAATGATCATCAAGCAGTTTGAAAACCGAATATTCGGCCGTTTACAATGCATTAAGGCCCCCTCCCCCTAAAAAATCGATCTCAGCCCAGGAACGTTCAAATGGACTGAAATTTGGAGCATATGTTGGGGCTGAAGTGAGGAGGCTGTGGTAAAATTTTCAGCTCCATTTACTGACGTTTGACGGAGATATGAACCCAACTAGGATCAAAAATAGCTCATTTTCTGTCCAAGATTTCTCGGTTCGGGCTCTGTCAATATATTTAAATTTTTTTTTGTTTGAAAGAGCATCTCAGGATGCTGGGCAGTGTAGAGTCCTTTTTTTTAATTCTTACTTTCTTCGCGGAGAAAGGGGCTCACAAGTTCAATGGCTCAAAAAACACGCCAAAAAAGGGTGTCCAGTCACATAAGTGCCTGTATATATAATAAAAAACAAAGCTTAATTAAAAAAAGGACTCTATATTGCCCTGCATCTCGACGCGCTCTTTCAAACAAAAAAAAATTTAATATATTGACAGAGCCCGAACCGAGAAATCTTGGACAAAAGATCAAAAAAACCATAAACCGAGAAAAAACGAAAAACATTTTTTGGTTTTTCAAAAAACCGCTTATTTTTCGAATAGAGGATGGCAGAAATCTTGAAAAATTTTTGAGAGAAATGAGGTACTGAGGAAAACTTTTATTGTTTATGAAAGAGCAGATGACGGGCTATCTTCCCATGCATTTATCTCAATTTCGAAATTTTTGACGAAAATTGACTTTTTTTGAAGGGGAGGGGGGCCTTAATGTACGATTGTAATATTGTGCCTACTAAACAATGAGAAACTATCTAAAACTACCCTTTGCATTTGTGTTTATTTGACCATGGAACGTTTAATATTTTGCACTTCTTTTTTTATAATGTACTGAACCGTATAAATCATCATATTTTTCTCTATACGGTCGTCTATGATAGTGTCTATCTGATCTGTGTATAAATATATACTTAGGACATACCAAAATTAGGGACAATGACACCTAAATACCGTATAGTAAGCTTCAACAAACTTTCTTACTATAGAATCTTATAGAGAAAAGAATAGAGTCGATATCCCTAAAGCGAACGGACATCTTGGAGGTCTCCATTGTAATTCTGATATTTCTGTCATTTTTCATCATAAAATAATTATTTTTATATCACGGGAATGAAAACAAAATTC